CAGGTAGTTTCAACCCCACATTATTATATTCTGCTAATAATGCACCATAAGTAAAAAGTGCGTAGTAGTAAATTGATTGATAATATTTGAAATTTATTATGAACAAATAACAATGTAATCAGCGGAATATTAATTCCTTTTTTTAGGTGAACTGAAATAACAAATACAATTACAAACAAACAATAAATATACTTCCTAAAAAACAATAAATATAAAAGTGGACTAAGCTAGTATAAATTAATTACTCGGATTGACTTGGTTCATAATACATAAGGTATATTATGCAAGACAAATATTTCGAATAAGAATTTTCTGCCCGAATCACCGTCTGGCCACTTCAATTTGAGGTGCTTCCGAGTAGAATCTTTTGATGACATTTTGTGAGCATGTTTTACTTGAAGTGTAGATTATATCCATCAAATTCTAGCTTAAAATTCAACCGGGAAGTGAGTTAAATAAAATATAATATTGAAAAACATATATTTTGACGTAGTATATTTCAATTATTTATTTAACTGACTTCCCGATTGTATTTTAAGCTCACATTTGGTGGACATAATCTATACTTCATGAGAAATAAGCTCACAAAATTTCATAAAAAATTCCACCCAGAAGCACCTCAAATGAAGATTACGCATGCAATATATACGAAGTTTGGTTCCTGTCTAGGAACCGGAACCGAACTGGAACCGAACCGGAACTGAACTGATCCTATACCATAGGAACCGAACCGAAAAAACTGAAGTCCAAGATTATAGAAACTGAATCGAACCGGACAATTCGATTCGGATCGGTTTTCCGGTTCTAAGTCCAGCCCTAGCTAAACTTCTCATAATAATTCAGTCAAAATGAAGCAGCAGCACGTACAGTAACAGCTTGCCCGGTGAGGGTATTTCTGTCAAATGGTGAGCTGCAACAGAATTCCCAACCGACTGCCAGTTCATGCATTCCGGTCAGTTTCTTTCCCGCCACTAGCTTCGTTTAATTACTCCGATTCTCTATCGCTCAACCATCCTCACTCTTCACATTCACATACCGATCCTTCAATCTCTCTTTCCTTCTCTGGAAAAACCGCCATGGCTACCGCCACTCTGCAACTGCAGATCCTTCTTGTCTTACTCATTCTCATCTCGCTTTTCATATCCGCAGCTACAACCGACGCGGGAGCCCTTTCCGAATCACCATCGTCACCTCCACCGTCGTTTGACTCGTTTCCGCCATCACCGGAACAGTCTTCCTTCGACGCTAATGTTTACTCGCCTCCGGCTTTCGCGAACATCCTCTATTCTCTAGGGTTCGAGGAGCTATCTACTGCCGCCGCCGGAGTGAATCTCTCCACCGGCGCTCCGATCACTATCTTCGCTCCTGCTGATTCGTCGATCCTCACCTGCCGCGCCTGTGTTGTCCGGCTGCTACTGCACGAGCACTCTGTTCCTGGACTATATCCGCTCGAATTCCTTCGGAAATTAGCGTCTGGCACTAAAATCCAAACTCTCGCCGAAAATCGCTGCCTCACTATCACGACTACTACTTCCGTGATTCGCGATCAAGCGCAGGTTTTCGTCAATGGTGCAATGATCACTCAGCCTGACCTGTTCTACAATGGCGTCGTCGTGATCCATGGCATCCAAGGCTTCGTAGCTCATCTCTCGCCGGAGTCCTGCAGTATGGAGCATATTAATTCTCTCTCGTTTCCTCCCCAATCATCGATTTCTTCATCGGAAACCAGGATATCTATCATGCACCTGATGCTGAAAGACGCAATCATCCGATTGGAGAATAGCCGGTACAGAATCGTGGCATTGGCGATGAGAGTGAAATTCGCCGAGCTCTTGAAGCTGAATTCAATGACTGTCTTCGCCTTGGAGGACTCCAACCTTCTGGCCGGTAATGGATTTCTGTACCTCTCGAATTTCCACTTTCACGTTGTGCCGAATCGGAAGATCCTTGCATCGGAACTGTTGAGCCTGCCGTCGGGAAGCCTGTTGCCGACTATGGATAGGGAACACAGCCTGGTGTTGACCACGGCAGGGGAAGGAGGCAAAGTTACGCCGATGAAAATAAATTACATAAGCATCACCAGCCTGGATATGATACACAACATCAGAATTGTGATCCACGCAGTGTCTTCCCCATTTCCACACATGTTCAGCCACATGCATGGTGAAAATTTTGGGCAGATGGAACAGTCGCAGTGCGGTTTCGGATCTGATGGTGGAAGCTTTTGCGATGTGGACCCTCCAACGCCAGCTGGAGTGCCATCAACGATGGAAAGCGATGACATGGCGTCTGAAATCTGAACTTAAAAGCTGTACGTTTGTGTTAGTCTCACTATACACAGCATTGACTGTCATTCTGTAACAGCTACTAGCTCTGAAGCCTCTGATCTAGTCATAGTATGGTCTATTGTTCTAAATGTTGGTTTCTGAGAATCTGTGATTTGTACCTCTGGTACAAGTCCATTTCCATTTTTCCAGGCAATCATAATTCATATGCCTATTTGCGTCCATATGACTCGCAAAAACTGTTTGTTTTGCACCTCTTCTTACATTACATTACAAATTACTAGTACTTGTCTTCCCGTTTTTATTTGAATTCTTACTGAGTAAAACTTGTTGTTACTCTGTATTTTGAACAAAAAGATTCAAGGAAAGGCACACAATTTTACCTTCAAGCTACCAGTGAGAACCATTGATCAAAGTTGCCAAAAATAGGACTTTTATACGCCGTACTCCTTATAACTTAGAGGAACATCTTCAAGAAGAGTTCTTTCTTGAACTAAATGATCATTGAATTAAATTCCTATCTACTTGATATTTTGGCCATTGTTAGTCAATGAGGGTAACAACTTTGGCCATGGTGGTAGGAATATATTGCATACTGTTTTGTTTTTAGGGCCTTCTACCGTACACCAATTAATTAAAGAGTTTGAGTGCATGAGCTTAATATAACCATAATAATTTTAAATCATTTGCTTGTATTTTAATTTATTGATGGGCCAAACATCACAAAATAGAGAGGTATGCATTCACATGCCACTCCAATGGTGGAACAAAGAAGTAAAATAAAACTAGAAATGGAAATTATCAGGAGTAAATAAGTTTTGGAAATGAATTATTATTGATCCTGCGAGTTTTGTCATTTTCACATTTAGTCTCTTTCTTTCACGTTGTTCACCTTTAGTACTTGGCTAATGTTTCTTGATCATTTGTTGTCTTTCTCCGGCGATGTTAATTATTAGAATTATTGCCGGAAGGGCCATATATGGGCGAAAACACAATAGTCATATATCAAAAGTGGTCAAAGTAAAAAACATGGATCAATTGTGAAATCAGTGTGATACTCGTAGGACCAAAAGTGGAATTTATAATTTTGAAAATACTACCATGTTGAATTCCAAAGCCTGTTAAGTTGTCAACTCCTATTTTGGGAAATCTTCCAACTAGAAAAGAAAATAGATAAAAATGGGACAAGTTTTGTGAAAGAAAATGAGGAGGGTGAAATGTATAAATGGTACCTTCACTATTGATATTGTTGTATTTTGGTACCTTAATTTTTAAATAAAAAAATCAGTACAATAATTATACACAAATGTTTCAATTCACAATATTATTCATATTTCTAACCAAAAAAGCATATGTGACGGCTGAAATTCTATGCGTAAAGTAGACTTCACCTTACTTTTGTCCATATCATCACTGTAGGGTGGACTCTACATATTGAATTTTGATCGACATGTACGATTTTTTGCCGGCAAATTTGAATAATATTCTCAATTGAAAACATTTAAGTTTAATTATGGTATTGATTTGATTAATTTAAAAGTTAAGATACTAAAATGCAACAATACTAATACTTGAAAATTCAATTTATTTGTTTCAAATAAAATAAAAAGGTTGGCTTTTATTATTTTTATATGAATTGATCAAACGTAGTATTAAGATTAAACTCACATTTGATGATTTGGTCTTTAAACCATGAGGCTCCATGACATAAAATGATGCCATGCTCGCATTCCTCTTATGTATCCCCACTTATGATCATGGAGCCTCAATAATATCCTTTTTCGTTGGTCATTTTACTCTTTTTTATTCAATTTGTTTGAGTAATGAATCACAAATATACGAATAGGTCCAAAAGCTGGTCTATTCGGTTTTCCAAAACGACTTTTAGTGCTCGATTAGTGTCCAAATTCGTCTTAGCAAACAAATAAGGAGTATAAGGAATACTAGGAGCAAGTGGGCAACCATGTTTGGTGGTTCAAATTTTCAATCGGAAGTCTATTTGCATAGGTTATAGTTCCTGATTTGTTTCTCTTGAAGCTCACACTTAGATATATATCTTGATATTCATTACTCTCTATTTCTTCAATATTAATAATGACTCAAGCTTCTGTGCATTTTTTTGCATTTCCAGTCAAATGCATATACTGAGTTAGAGCAAAGGTGTGTGTTTGTATCTGTTTCCTAAACTGTTAATGATTTTTTTTCCCTTTTCATCAGTGCGCTTGGTACAACTCAATCTGCATTGGGAAAACATGATTCATTTGATCTTTATCTTAGCCAGTTTAAAAATCTTTCCTTTCATAATGAAGCAAGAAAGTAGTTCAGGATAGAGGATTTGCCTGACTAATGAGATTAAACACATCTCCAAAGTGAGTAAGGTCTTAGATCTTTATCATTGTCATTTCTTGAGCTGCAGTTGGGTATTTTGGGTGGTCTTTTTAATTAGCAACACAAGCCATGGTCTTCTGTTCTTTTACCTCTATGAGTGCTTTCTACTATATCATTGTTAGATAGCACTTTGATAGTCTTTTCTATTTTCATAAATTTCTGTTATTAGTTATTACCAGCATCATTGTGCTAATTCATCATATTCTGCAAATTCGTTATTCAGGTAGATCAATGATATAAATTCTTTGTGTAGCTAACCTTATTGATTGATATTTAGTGTTGATATCCTTTCAACATTTTTACTTTTTACGAAGATATACGGCATGAGGAACCTCTGCATATGGTTGCTGCATATACTTTAGGCCTTTGTATTGATTTAAACTCTTAAAAATACAAAGAATACATTTACAACCTTTATCGATCGGTAAATTTCCAGCTCATAGACCTTACGTCTCGTTCTAAAACTCAACATTTTTATAATGATTGTAATGCAATAGATTTCTTGCTGTATATGATGTATATTTTATTTTCTAACCAATTGAACAATATTTGATCTCACTGGACTGCTCTGTGATGAAAATCAGATTTGTTCTCTATTTTCTGGCAGAGTTACATTGGCATGTGATCTGATACGCTCTTCGGCTTGGACTGCCTGCAACAGGTAAGCTTATATATATATTCATCAATCTTTTCATTGTAAGTAACTAAAGCTGTTTCACTATGCATTCTCTTTCTACTATCATAAGTATGACAAATAGTAATTACAGAAATATAGTAATTCTAGATATTGAATTACTATACTCCCTCCGTATTTAAAAGATCTCTATACTAGGGGTTGACACAATATTTAAGGGGAAATTAGTAGGGGTAATGAATACTCTAGAAAAAGTGGGGGAGAAGGTGGAAAAAGTAAGGGTAATTGAGTATTTGTAAAGGAAAAACTTACCAAAAAGGGAAAGTGTAGCAAACTTTTAAATACATCCAAAAAAGAAAAGAAAGGAAAGTGAAGAGAACTTTTAAATACGGAGGGAGTAGTAATTCTGAATATTTTAGTTTCCTTTTCTTCTTAGGTTTAGGGTTTAGTTTTCCTATCCTATTGAATTGAAATCCTATGTACCATTTTTTTGTATAGCACTCATTTTTATTTGGTTGAAATTGCGTTACCCTTTTTATTGTATTGATTAACTGATTTACATCGACCAATCAAACTGAAGCAGTAGTAAAGGAAAAGGGGTACAAAAGATTTGAACTAGCTTCCTGCTGGGTTCAAGGTGATCATTTAGGTATATTAACATCACAATAGTCTTTAGTACTGATGTAGTTCATGCAGAGACAGCAGAGTAGTTTGTTTTTCAACACATACCTCTTTATTCCAGTTGGCCAGTAACAGTTTCAGTACAAGAATGACAGTTTGAAGTATTGTACCGGCTAACATTCCCATCCAAATTCCTTTCACACCAAGCTTTGCTTTGTAGCCAAGCAAACCTCCTAAAGGAAGACCCACTATGTAATAGCAACCTATGTTTATAATCGCAACTGAATATTGCCACCCTGCACCAACTGCAACCCCTGCAAAACCACATAGCCCGTGCTTGGATTTGGGAAGGAATAGATAGCAGAGAAATGAGTGAGCAAGAGATGTAAAGAATGATATATTAGGAAAAGGAAACACTCTGTGTTATAGACTTTATGTAGTGTTTGATAGGAGAGACATGGAAAAGAAATTGGTGGAAATCAAGAAGGAATAAAACGGTTGTGTGACCCAACATACTTATTGGAAAAATGACAAAAATATAACCCCTGACTTTACAATGGATAAAAATTGGACCAATTTTAATCTATAAACAAATTACTAAAACAGGATTGTCTGGTGGTGGTGGTGGAGTCACTAGGAATGACATACCAAGATTGACATATTTAGTTTCTTTTTTGGAAATATTTAAATTTAAATAGTATTAGCAACAAATTGTCTATGAGTAATATTTAAAGAATATTGGAGGAAAAACCCCTATTTATCCCCCCCTCCATCTATTTCTCTCCTTCACATTTCATTCCCTTTTCAGCCTGACCAAACAAAGTGATAATGTTGGTGAATAATAAAACTGTGTCAAGCTATTGTGTGGGTCATTTGAGTTTCTGTTTTGAGACTTGCCATGGAGCACGGGTTGGATGCTGTTGAGGAGGATGGTTACTGCTAAGAAGTGTGCTAGTTTGGATGTCTCTTTTATGACTTCGGGTTTATCAGAAAATAGCCTTGGGAAGTTATTTTCCGTTGCAAGCACTGCAGTTGTAAACAGAACCCCAAACACTGCTGATGTGACTATGGCCACCACAATTGCAAATTTTGCAGTTTTTGGATGCCCTGCTCCAAGTTCGTTCGAGACTCGCACACTGCAAAAACAAGGAAGTTGAACCTTTTATTTTTACCCCCTTTCTAATTTCTATATTTTACTATGACTATATTGACTTATAACCTTGTATTCCAAAACTAGATTGCATATGAGTTCACGACCTATAAGATTTGTGACCATGTTGGTAATAATGAAGTGTGAAGTAGGATAGTATATGGCCTTTTTTAAAATTAGAAGATCACATTCCGTTGCAATAGTTCTACTGACATATGTTAAGGTTAATGCCATGTTTAGTAGTGCTGCAATTTGGTCATTGTGTTTCTTTTGGACTCAATTTGATTCTCAGCTATGCAATTTGGACCTATTGTCATCCTTATGTATATGTTTCTCTAATTAAGAATGACCTTTTCATTCACTAAGGACCCCAAATTATATAGTTGAGAAGAAAATGTAGTCCTAAATCGGGTCTTCTAATGTGGAACCATGTTTTATATAAACTACTAAATCACATCTGAGGTGATGGCACCAATAACCATATTGAGCTCATAATTGTCAAGAACCAAACATAGCAATCATGTTATTCATGTATAGTTGAGGGATTATTAGCTTAATGTTTACTGCTCCAGTGACCTGATTGCTGCATTGAAGCCTAAAGTGATCATCAACGTCCAGAGTTGCAGATTCATGCTGTGGCAGACCAGATCAAAAGGGTAAACCTAAGAATCAAGGTAAAACCAACGATAGGAGTTTGTGCATACATATAGCAATTATTATTCTCATTGGAGAAAAGAGGCAAATAAGCTCTCGAACTATTTGCGATTCTGCAATCAGGCCCTTGAACCGGAAGACTTGCAAATACACCCTCCAATTCGTTGAAAATTAAGCAACCGGATCCCTTTTTATTTGCTGGTGCAAGTAAGGAGATGAGAAATTACCAGCACCAACAGGTAAAAAGGTTTTGATTGCTTAATTTTCAACGAGTTGAGGGTCTATCTGCAAGTCTTCTAGTTCATGGGTCTGATTGCAAAAACGCAAATAGTTTGAGGGCTTATTTGCCCATTTTCTCTTCTCATTAAGCCACTAACCAGATAGATATGGCATCTACTGCAATTTCAGGATTCTTCAACCTGCCAACCATGAGGATCACCACTGTGTAGTACCACAACTCTAAGCTGCCATTGTTTTTATTCCATTAGCTGGAAAAATTCCATAAATAGGGCCAAAACATACCATGTTTGTTCATATAGGACTCATTGTTTTTCCTTCGAAATATGACTCATTGGTTATAGAAGAACTATTACCTACTTTTATTCCTTTTTAGAAGTTAGAACTAAAAGAGTTATCCTTTTAGCGCATAATCTGTTTTTTACTCCTATTTGTAGTAATATCTTTTCTTAGTCTTGTAATCTAGACTCACCATAGCATCACAGCTGAGGCAAGTGAGAGCTTCAGAAAACCAGAGAGTGCTTTGAAAGCTGACGTTGAAAACCCAGTCCATGCCTCGGGGAAGGAACCAGAAACAACATATATGTTTTGAGCTATAACCGCAATCCACCATGATATATTTCCTGCCATGGCGGCGCCAAACAGTCCCTTTCCAAGCTTTGTTACAAGCACCCAATTCAAGACAACATGAAATGCCAGTACGAGGATGTTTATCACTGTGATTACCCAGATTTTACTCTGAGCTTGGAGGAATTTTTGGACTGGGAAGTTTAATGCGTAAGCAAACAGTTGAGGAATGACCCATTTTGCATATTTCCCGGCGAGCTCTGAAATGTCTCTGCTTTGGCGAAGAAGCTCTAGTAATGGGGATGTGAAGACGTAGAAAGGGGTCAGCAGTAAGGCTGTGAATAAAGTGATAATGCATGATCTTTGCATGTACACTCCAAGCATTTCATACTGCCCTGCACCCACTGCTTGCCCACACAGAGTCTCTAGTGCACTTCCCATTCCTAGCTAATACAAGAAGGGATTCAGGTAAAATCAAAGGAAATAATTAGGAGACCATGCAAGTTTCTCCTTATGCCTTAGCTTAAATAGGACCAAGTATGTTTTATTCCTTATATAAGATTTATTTAGTCCTATTAAACTATTAAAATAAGATGTTAGTTTAAAACTTCCCAAAATAGGAATGATTGAGCTCTACTATAGAAATAACCATGGAAATAACATACTCCGTAGTAGTTATTTATGAACTTTGTCTTTCTTTTAGTCATGTAGGGAAGTTTGAAAGTTTCTCTTTGGGTTTAATGCACCAAACCCCTCTGTGATTTGGAAATTCGGCGCATTAACCCCCTGTGATTTAAAAAATGCGTCAAACCCCCCTGTGTTTTAATTAATCATGCGTCAAATCCCTTATGTGAACAAATTCAATTGTCAAATAAAAGAAAAATGATTAACATTTTTGTATGATTCAGAGATTTTGACATATTTATTTGCATATTCAATCAAAATATTAGGAAAAGTGATTTTCAAATTGTTAAATTTATTCATAAAGGGGGTTATGTGCATGATTAATTAAAACACAAGGGGGTTTGACGCATTTTTTAAATCACAGGGGCCTAATGCGCCGAATTTCCAAATCACAGGGGGGTTTGGTGCATTAAACCCGTTTCTCTTTACTAGTAATCTACCTAGTAGTATATATTATTGATGAACCTGATGGATTTGTTCTTCTGATACATAAATGCGTACATCCGACCTCCCTTACCCCACTGTACGTGGGAGCCTAGCCTTTGTGACACTGGGTAATGATGATGATGATGATACACAGGTAGAAGTGAAAGGAAGTACTTACCATGACACCATACACGAAGCCTTCGATGACACTCTGAACAATGGAGACGGCAGCGAGTTCAATAGCTCCGAGATGGCCGACAAAAGCCACCGTGACAAATCCAAAGGAGAACTGCGCCACCGCTGTGAGAATGGCCGGCGCAGCTATCTCCCACATCTTCTTCCATTCATCCCACCACTTTCTTCTCTTCCTCCCCACGTTTCTCGGGACCTCATCATTGTCACGTGAACCTGTCCTCTCCATCTCCAGACCACCTCGATCCATTTGACACTAAATTGTCAAACTCTTTTTGCTAGCCAGCCGCTTCTGATCAAATCCGATCCTCTAATTAATTCATAACCTTTCGTCTCTAAATCTTATCATTGATAGGTGGATAGCTATATCTAAAAGTTAAGCAGAGATTTATTTGTTAGTTTAAATCGTTGGGAACTAGAAAAGTTGTTACTTGCTAGTAGGAATTATATAAACGAAACTACTCCACGAAAGATGCATGCTACTATTTTCCCAATAACAGAATTCTCACTCCATCCCTCAAGAAAACATTGCCAAAAAAAACTATGATTGGAGTTTTTTTTTTTTTAGCAATACGTACCACTTTACATAATACGACAGTACAAAACATGAATCATATAAATTCACTTTCTTTTGTTACAATCGCGTCACCTCCTCTTGTTTCTGCCATTTACTAAACTAGCATGTTTGCAACTCCTTTACACAACCCACTAAACTAACATGTTTGCAACTCCTTTACACAACCCGTCCCCAATTTTTACCACAATTTTTATTGTGAAAAGGAGTTGCAAATTATCCCATATTTAAATTGTGGTACAAATTTCTTTGTTTTAAATGATGATCCCTGTTAGATATTTGATGTTGGTCTAGGATAAGACCCTTGGTCAGTTGGTCGTAAAAGTGTGGTGGAAAAAATAGAAACAAATGGTAATTGAGAATGTTTTTAGTTGGAATTAGGGGTGGGCATAACGGTTTGGTTTAACAGAACCGTACCAAACCGAACTAAACCGAATCGAAACCGAACCGTATGCAATTTGGTTTGAGTTTGGTACTATTTCTTTCAAACCGTATTAAACCGAACCGAAACCGATAAAAACCGAACAAAACCGAACCGAACTAAAGAAACTCAAAAAAACTTTCATATATTATTAAAATTGGTGGTTTGATTTGGTTTGGTTTGGGTTTACATTTGGTAAACATTTGCTCAAACCAAATGGTTTGGGTACTTTGGTTTGGTTTGGTTTAAAACGGAAAAACCGTAAATAGAACAGAATACCAAACTATATATATATATATATATATACCGGAGCCGCCGTGCGGCCTCCACGTTTTGAGGGCCTTCCCAGTGTAATTTTTTGATGAAATTTTTTGAGCATGTTCTTCATCAAGCCTAGTACATCCATACCAAATTTCAGCAAAAAATTCAATCGGGAAGGCAGTCAAACGATTTTTGGAAGATAACTGCGTTTTATATGTATATAAAGGGTGCAGTTATCTTTCAAAAATCATTTGACTGTCTTCCCGATTGAATGTTTTGCTGAAATTTGGTATGGATGTACTAGACTTGATGTAGAACATGCTCAAAAAATTTCATCAAAAAATTCCACCAGGAAAGCCCTCAAAACGTGGAGGCCGCACGGACGCTCCGGTAAGGTATACCTTACCGGAAGAGTTCCCTAGCTATATATATATATAGAGAGAGAGAGAAAAAAAAATCATCATGTCAGGCCGGCCTGACCGGGAGAGCCGTCCGGCCGAGCCCTTTTGGCAACCTTCCTGGTGGAATTTTTTGATGAAATTTTTTTAACATGTTCCTCATCAAGTCTAGTTTGTCCATACCAAATTTCAGCTCAAAATTCGATCGGGAAGGCATTCAAATATTTTTTTGAAGTTGACTGTGTTTTTATATGTATATTTTGACGCAGTCAACTTCAAAAAAATATTTGAATGTCATTCCGATCGAATTTTGAGCTGACATTTGGTATGGACAAACTACACTTGATGAGGAACATGCTCAAAAAATTTCATCAAAAAATTCCACCGGGAAGGTCGCCAAAAGGGCTCGGCCGGACGGCTCTCATGGTCAGGCCGGCCTCACAAGAAGAGTTCTCTAGTGGGAGTTTCCTACTTTCTCTCAAATCAACTGTAACTCATGCATTTAGTGCAGAGTTTTCCCATCTCTCTCTCAAATCCACAACATAACCTCATTAATATGGATGGCCCAGATTAATTTTCATTTTGTAAATTAGGATATGTTTGTATATGATCGTAAGTCTATCTATATATATATATATATATATATATATATATATATATATATATATATATATATATATATATATATATATAGGAAATCTTTCCGGTAAGGTATACCTTACCGGAGCCGCTGTGCGGCCTCCACGTTTTGAGGGCCTTCCCGGTGGAATTTTTTGATGAAATGTTTTGAGCATGTTCGTCATCAAGTCTAGTACATCCATACCAAATTTCAGCAAAAAATTCAATCGGAAGGGCAGCCAAACGATTTTTGGAAGATAACTGCGTTTTATATGTATATAAAGGGTGCAGTTATCTTCCAGAAATCATTTGTCTGCCTTTCCGATTGAACTTTTTGCTGAAATTTGGGTATGGATGTACTAGACTTGATGAAGAACATGCTCAAAAAGTTTCATCGAAAAATTCTACCGGGAAGGCCCTCAAAACGTGGAGGCCTCACGGAGGCTCCGGTAAGGTATACCTTACCGGAGCAAATTGCATTTATATTTTACATTATTCATTTGAATAAAATTGTGAATATTACAACATTTGTACCACCGACTCTTTTAGGTTTTCTTGAATATTTTATGTGATATTATAAATGCTAATCAACTATCTTATTTTTTGTAATAAGTGAATTTTTGGAGTGATAAAAAAGATGTTAGAAGTTTTAATTTATAATATTTATTATTTATTTTTCTATCTTTTATTTCCTTTTACATTTTATTTAAATAATCAATAAATTAACAAAATATGAGATAGACTACTACTTTCATTTTCTAATTCTAAAATATAGAACTTGATCAAATAAAATAATAAACATAAGCAAACGAATCAAATCAAACTAAATTAAACATAATATTTTTTACTTTGGTAAACCGAACTTCAAACCGAACCGAAACCAAACCGAAACACAAATGATTTTAGTTTGGTGCAAATTCTCCCAACCCGAATAAACCGAAACCGAACCGAAACTGAAGAAAACCGAACCGTAAAGCGAATTACCCACCCCTAGTTGGAATGGTTTCACTTCCCGATTAAATCATAACAGACCAAAGTACCAATCTAGATATAAACGTATTAGAGCAAAACACTGCATATTTCGACGCTTGTAAAATACATAAAGAAGATATAGCTATCAAATCAAGTCAGATCAGATTTAAATAAACCAAATCAGATAGATTAGACCAGAAAAATACTTCGAGCTGAGTTAAAACATCCTAAAAGTTGTTAAATAGACTATTTGTATTCCAGCTTCCATAAGTGCCAAGGTAGCGAAGCTTGGGTTACGTTTGAACATCATACGCTTGAAGCAAAGTAAACAACCCCACAAGATTCCACTCTAGAGAAACTCGTCCAAATGTCCAATGATAGTTTTGCCATTATTTCACGGTTTGACTAATTTTTTGTGAACTTAATTTTGTTCAAGTAAATGGACTTCTAGATAAAGGCTAAGCATTTTTAACCTTGTGTTCACGGATTTGATGCTTTAGTTTGAAGGGATTATTATTTCCATTATGATATGTTACGTGTGTATCACACATTGATACAACATATCTTCACGTGATCGATTGATCAATATCTAGGAAATTGTTAGCTGTCAACGATTTATGAGAGGAGAATGTAACAGATATCATTAATTTCACGTGGGAGAATAAGAGCCTGTTTGGTAGTAGCCAAATTGGCTATATTAACAGATTCTGCTGAAATTTATAAGTTCTGATCGATGTGGTTGTATTCACTGATTCTGCCGATGTGTAAAAAATAATAATTTAAAATACATTTTATTAATAAATAAAGAAAAATTATATGAAAAAATACCTAAAATAGCCTTCTACAATAACTTCAGTCAATACAGCCAGAAAATTAACCTGGACCTTACTTTTCTATTACTCCGTGTTACACATTTTAGCTTATAAAACCAAATGTTACGAGTTTGGTGAAAAAATTGGCTTATAAGCCTGAAAAGCCGAAAATAATGGCTGCCAAATGGGCACTAAGTATTGAGCATGAACTGAAGCTACTCTTTCACTTTTCTTACAAAACTATTTCCTACATTACTAATTTTGACCAATTTTCTTTATTTAAAATTTTAAATGTCCCAAAACTTTATTACTTCTGAAATTTGTATGGTGATTTCTTTCATGTACTTCACCTTAATAATGCTTAGCCTACTCCAATATAGTAGTCCCTCCATCCCTAAAAATACTTTCAACTTTTCCTTTTTGTCCGTCTAAAAAAGAACTTCACTTTCTCTTTTTGGCAAAGAATTTGTGGTTCACATCAATTCTTACACATTTCTCTCTCATCTGCGGAACTCTTCATTACACAATTTCCATTTTCAGGGACGGAGGGAGTATTTGTTTTGTTAAGAACAAAATTCTTGAACTGAAAAGAAATACGAACATCTAAGCTACTCTTTGAAAGTTTTATAGTGTGCCATTAGAGCATAGACACTTGACAACATTTTAAATAACTTGTTTTTGAACATTACCAACTTTAGTGCCAAACATCTTTATACAATATAATAAAGTAACAAAGTTGGAGTAAGAATTGGAGGGAAAAATCCCACCCAAAATAAGGGCAAAATAGGGAGTTAATGAAGAAAGCAAATTTGGTAATTAATTATAGGGAAAAATAAATAAAATACTCCAAACTTTGAAGGGGTGTGAGGTAAGCACCCCAAACTTGCATATGTAGTTTAAATACCCCAAACTTTATATAAAAAGTTATTTTAGCACCATGGTCATGTTTTCTTTCTTTCAAAAATGTTCAATTTTTGTGTTAATTTCATAATTTAAAATATTTTAGCATTCATGTAGATACAATTAACATTCTAAACTTTAATTGTAAAATAAATAGTATCACCCCCACTCTATATAATTGTAACCTTTTCAATTTGCTATTTTAAATTATGCAATTAACACCACAAATTTACATTTTTGAAATTAATAATACATGATCGTGGTGCTAAAATAACTTTTTATATAAAGTTTGGGGTATTTTTATTACATATGAAAGTTTGGGGTGTTTATGCCACACCCCTTCAAAGTTTGGGGTATTTGAATTATTTTTCCCTTAATTATACTAGGTAACAAATTTTAGCAATGATGTACGTAAGTAACGTATCAGAAATGATTTCGTTTTCTTTTATTAAATCTAGACTAGATATTATAATACTACGTATTGCTTTAGTTCATGACTTCATGCATTTGTATACCCAATAAATTTTATTTTAAATATATATGGCCATATGTATAATAATATAATATTATGTCAAAAAATTCTTAATTTTGTTGTTTCTCTATCCCAGCAATATTGAGACAAGAGGGTGTGACACTTAGGAAAATGAGTTTATGTGGTTGATATAGAATTGATAAAGTGAATATGATTTAAAGTCATACAAATTTATCAAATTATTATAGTAATAGTCATAATAAGAGCAATTAATATCATATGGAAGAAAAAATATTAGATTCTAACTTTCGTAACTAAGATGAAAATAAGAACATGAGAATTATAAGTTGATCTATTATGCTCATTCTAAAAGAATGTAAGGGTCCTAATATGGAAGAAAAGAGTTTTCCCTTCCAACAAAATTTCTCTCCCTTTAATAGTGATGATGTGAAAGAAAAAAGGGTGAAGATAAACTTTAATAAGTAATCTTTTCTCTCAATTGTTATGTTTATTTTTAAGTACTACTCAAAGTAATAAACCCATAATAATTTTTGTCTCCAATATTTGTACCCCAAGTGTGGTCTATATATAATACCAGTCACCCAAAAGAAAAATATTAAAATTCTAATCGAATAACAAACTATCCTCCCATGTAGGATTTCAATTTTTATCTCTCTCTATGTTAATGATATTTATATAACAAAATTTAACAAAGTGGCTGCAAACATTGACTAGAAAATTCCCACTTAAAATAAAGTGAAATTACATATGATTATATCTCAAGTTTAGTGAATAACTTTTTTTGGGTAAGTTTTTCTCAACAATGTCAAGCTTAATGTCTTGATGTAGACATTATATTGTTGAGAAAAACTTATCAAAAACTAATAAGACCGTTGAAAGAATGAGAAAGAAATGTCATAGATATATTCTTTTGTATCTATCTCTCTCATGCCACATATCTACATTGTATGCATCCACTAAAAATCACCCCTCCATCCCATGGAATTCTTCCCGATTTGACTTGGATCGGAGTTTAAGAAAGTGAGAGTAAAGTGAAAATATATGGTTGCAATTGAGTAAGAAAAAAATAAATCAATGTTAGCCACACAAAATTTTCCAAAAGGGAAATAGGAAGAATTTTGAGACATCCCAAAAAGGTTAGTGGGAAAAAATTATGGGACGAAGATAGTATATTACCTCTGTTCCGGTAGACTTTGCCAACTTCAAAATATGCGAGAAATAAGAAAAGTAAAAGTTATTATATTGTGGTCTATGCACAGGAGAGAGAAACAAGTCGAATCACAAATTTATTCTTTAAAGGAAAGTTAGAAAGTTTTTGAGACAAACGAAAAAGAAAAATGACAAAGTTGAGTGAGACGAAGAAAATATAAATTGGGAGAAAATTCTCAGAATAAAAATGTTATGGGTTTCAAAATAAAATTGCTATGTTATTCTTTCAGATATATGAGTATTTACTATCATCTTCGACTCATTACTGTCAAAATAGTTACAATATTAAGCATTAACATGACATTATTTACCGCCATTGATAACATTATTTTTCAATCATGACAATAACAATACATATTTCTGGAAGAAAACAATGCAAAATAGTAGTATTTTGAAACTCCAAATCATGTTTACTTCTATTTGGAGCAATTTCCCTATAATTTAATCATCGATTTACAATTATAGTATTAATTATCAATAATATTTCTTATTATCTTCATTTTATAAAAAGAACAAGATGAAATCCAATATAGTAATGAGATTCTATCTGACAATGAATTTACGTGATAGTACAATTGGTGCCTCATTAAACTTTTTGTTGTTGTACTTTCTTTATAAATAACCTCTCCGTATTTTAAAGTCTGCTACACTTTTTTTTAAATGTATTTAAAAGTTTGCTACACTTTCCTTTTAGTAAGTTTTCCATTAAAAGTACTGAATTACTCTTACCTTTTATATTTTTATTATCTTCTCTTTCATATGTTAACACGGCCTCTCTTACTTTTCTACACTATTCATTATACTACTTTCCTCCTTAAATAATGTTCCAAAGTCATATGTAGTAATCTTTAAAATAAAGAGAGAGTATTCATTGCTACCAACCGCTAACCAATGCATTTGCTAGCGAATTATCGGTAACCGATTTCTACATCAACATATACTATGTAGAAAAAATTGAAAATAATAATCCCAACTATTGCCAGTCTGCTAACAACAATCCCAACTATTGATTATTTTTGTATAATCCCAACTGTATGGACCGTCCTCCAATAACCAGGGGCGCATCTGGCATTGTCAATTAGGTGGGGCCAAAATTTGATTAAACAATGTATATTGCAAAAAATATCAAAACGTAGTAAAGTAGTATGTTATTTAACAAAATTTATTTTAAAAGATATAATAAAATCTTTTGCAACATAAATTGCAAAGACAAAAATAAATATAACATGAATAATTTTTTTCGAATACAAAAACACCTCAATGCATACATATTAAACTATTTTTCACTTATCAAGCCCAGTGAATTGAAAAAATTAATTTTTCAGACTTATATTCAAAAGTCTAAGAATGTTTCACAATATTAGTATGTAGCTCATTCACCGTTTGGAATTGGCATTAAGCTTGTATCAATTAAATTTAGGAGACCAGTTTAAATATAAAGGAAGAATCCTTTTATTCTCCAAGTGTGAGACAAAGAATTTTTAGAAGTAAAAAAAAAATTAAAAAAAACTGTAATGTTTACACACTATGTTGAACCATTGAAAGTTAATAGATTTGATGCACGTGGGACTCGAACTAGTGACGTGCAGGCCAACAAAGCAACACACTTCCATCTTGCTAACACAGAATTTATTCTTAAATTGAATTTTGTATTTATACCATTATTTAACAACACTACATATATTATAATACATATATACTAGTAAATTTATTTATTTTAAGGTTGGGCCTAGGCCCTGCCTGGCCTAGAGCAGTAGAGCCAGATCCGTCCCTGCCAATAACAGCCCATGACCGCATATCACCTGCTACAACAGGTGAATTTTAATAAAAATTAAGCGTAAAAAATAAATTTTGGGATTATTTATATGGTTTACCTGCTATATTTCTTTAGAAACTATAGGAATTTATTTATAGTCGGTCACGTCGGACCATTATTGGCGGAAGGTCCCTAAAATTGGAATTATTCTGAAATTATCCTTAGTTGGGATTATTATGAGCGGACCACCAATAGTTGAGATTATTACAATCAATTTTTCCTACTATATATGCAATAAATACAACAAGTTTCATGAGGCCCACTAATTATTGTACTACTACCTCCGTAACTTAAAAATCTTCCCATTTCAAAAGTAGGTAGATTAAGAATAGTGAAAGTGGATATGAATTATTGAGGATATGATGGGAAGATAGTGGAATAATACGATGGAATGTAGGATAAATCCAAAAAAAGTAGTTGTAATAGTGTATTGTTTTTAGAATTATTGAGGGTATGATGGGAAGATTTAGAAGTGGGAAGATTTTTTTGTTACGGACGAAAAAGGAAAGTGAGAAGATTTTTTTGTTACGGTGGGAGTATTAAGTTATTCCATTGTCACGTAGAGTTATTGGTGATACTTTATCGTTTACTACCTCTGTTCCTAAAAATTCTTCCAAGTTTGAATGACACGCTTATTAAGAAAGTGGAAATGTATGGTTGTGGTTGGGTAAGAAAAAGGTAAAATGAATGTGAATCATACAAATTGTCTAAAAAGGGAAAGTGAGAAGTATTTTTGGGAACGGCCCAAAAAGGAATGTGAGAAGTATTTTTGGGAACGGAGAGAGTATTTTAATTTTACTTGAATTTTTTTATGATCCAATTTTTTATTTTATTACAACTACTACTATGTACTCCCTCCGTCCCGCTATTAACTTCCTGCTTTCTTTTTTGGGCCGTCCCAGAATCATCTTCTCATTTACCTAAATCGAAAGTGATCCTACATCAAAACAATGTCAAACAGTGCAAAACAGTGTCAAACAATGTCTAAACAGTGTCAAACAGTGTATAAACAATTTAGTCAAATTTATTTCCTAAATATGTGTGTAGGTCAAAGTAGGAAGTTAATAGCGTGACGAAGGTATATAATTAATAAAAGTAACAACACATGAACTTTATCGTTTTTTTTAATTTGATAAAATTACACATTATGCACCATCAAAAAACATAATTTTAATTTCATAATTATTCAATTCTAGATATATCCCATATGGCGCGAGTATTCCGTCTAGTTATCAAACAATTTTTTGAATATTGTGAAATGTCCAACCCTAATTCTAGAATGATGATACATACTTGTAGTATAAAACCGCCGCACTTCAGTCGAGTGTGGGGAGCCTCCCCTCCGAACATTCCTCCCCACAGCTCAGCATATAAAGCCTCCAAAGATCTACGAGTATCAAGTATCGAAGCTCGTGCGTAAACATTCAAATCGCCGGCAAAGACACGCGGCGTGTCATGTCCATGTCTCCGACACGTGATTTTTCATAAGGTTTGTCTTCTCCGTGCTTCATGCGTTCATTCAATACTGAGTGCACTTAATGATTCAGTGTTTGGTAGAGAAATTCTGAAATGGTTCAACATGTATCCTGGGGGCCGTAGCTAAGCCTATATGCTACCATGTCTATGTGGTTGTTTAGGTATAAATTATTGACATTTATCATGTTTGAATTCCATGTTTACTTCCTAATTGGACTTCACATCCTTTTTTCTTTTTTAAATATTTGCATCCCAGAGTACCCAGTGAAATGTTAATGCTGTTTTCCCTTGAGAAGTCTAAGAAAACAATTCACTTTGGAGTTTGTAGTGCTATGGATGTAAGCTCAATGGAATGAAGGATTTAAAATAAATGCCATTTAGCTTTTTTTCCCCATTTTTACTTTTCAAACTACACTCTCTGTTTTATGCTCCCATTCAGCTTTTGGAATATGTATTTTAATATAATAATATTAAGCCGACCCACTAAATTATAAAAGGATACTAAAACATGGTTAGGAAAAATAAAGAAGCTTCTATTTCAATCATTTGTGCCCTGTTTGGGACTTATTTTTTCCCAAACACAATCCCAAACAAACTATAGTTTTGTCCAAAGGCTTATTTGTAATGGCAACAGGCAGCGCAAAAAAAGTTCCAGGATTAGTTTTGTGTTTGAGTTTATAATCATCTTTCACTTTCAGAAAACTCAAATTTTACACTCCACTGTCAAACTCCAAACACTCTCTAACTTTCGAAAGCACTTTTTCACTCCAACTCTCATAAGTGCTCTTCTAGTAAGGAGCGTCTTCAAACTGCAACCCCAGCCCCAAATTAGGCCTTATACTATGTACGTAGTAGTTCTTATGAAAGCTAAAACTGGATTGGGGGGGTATGAGGCAAAATGTCTTTTTCCTGCAATAATTTTACAGGTAGTATTTCATATGAAATCTTTTCGGTAAGCACAAGCTGGGTGAATTGTTCATGGTTAGAGGAAAGGAAAGGAAAGTAACATTGCTAAGTTTTCAACCACATGCTATTGGTACTTCAAGTAGTTTTAATCAATATGTTCTTTTATTATTATTCATACTGCCTCAATTCTGACCAACATTTAACCCGTTATATCTCTTCTGTAGGCGAGTCAAGTAGGAGTTCATTCTTTTTGACTGATGATGTCCCAATCTTGCTTGGGTAGTGCCAATGTTGTATGCACTGCAACAAATGTATGGGTTGTATCACATCTTCAAACACGAAAAGTTGAAAAACACACATTCTGAGATTGTTTTTTTGGCAAATTTTATGTGAGTGTGCATATAAATCTCTTAAGAAGACATCAACTACCCAAGTAAATGGATGTCCAAGCACCTTGCACTTTGAGAAACAAATCGAGACATCGGCCTCTGACCACATTTAGGTTGGTCAGAGGTATTTTGTGTCTGGTCGTGTTAGTTTTGACAGCATTCACTCTGATAGTGTTCTGTGGCTTCTGGTCTTCCATGTGCTTGAGGTTTGTCAGCGTTCACTATAGCAGAACCACAACTGCCTTCTTTTTTGGTTGTTGGATAGCTCTATGGCCATTTTTATTCGAAAAGATAAACAAGACCAAAATGGTTTTCTCGGGAGATTGTGTTCCCGACAGGGAACGAGTGTTGCTTATTGCAAACCATAGAACAGAGGTTGATTGGATGTACCTGTGGGACCTGGCTTTACGGAAGGGATGTGTGGGTTCAATAAGGTATATACTTAAGAGCAGTTTGATGAGATTGCCTATTTTTGGTTGGGTTTTTCATATCATGGAGTTCATACCAGTGGAGAGGAAATGGGATGCTGATGAGTCAAAGCTGAGGCAGATGCTCTCATCCTGCGCAGACCCTAGAGATCCTCTTTGGCTTGCTGTTTTTCCGGAAGGCACTGATTTCACGTATTATAATCTTAACTCTTTTTCTACATTCCAGTTTTTCAGTATCGTAGTTACACTTGTACTCCATATATTGTTACTACCTGACACCTGAGTACTCCATACAGTTTTATTGGGGGCACAACTATTGGAAATTGTGCATTCTGTCTAGTTTTTTATATTCATTTGCTTGTTTTCATCTAAATTCAACATATTTAACTTTTTTGTACACTATTTTGGAAATAAATAGAGTAATTTTTTTTAGGAAGAAGGTAGAATTTAAAAAGGAATTCTATTTTTGGATGAGGAGATTACATTATATTAACATTTCTTTTTTTCCTTGAATAAAGGTAAATATTGCATTTTTTGTTTAGGATACAAGAGTCATGTTTAGGTTTTAATGCTTTTCGTTTCTTTGCAGAGAACACAAGCTCGTACGTAGTCAAAAATATGCTTCTGAAAATGGATTACCAATCTTGAAGAATGTGCTGCTTCCAAAGACAAAAGGTTTTTGTGCATGCTTAGAGGAGTTAAGAGGTTCTTTGGATGCCGGTAACCTCCTGCCCCCTCTTTGTTTTACTGTGGCAATTTGTTTTCCAATATTTGTGCTTTCTATTCACCATGCTGCTAAACGATTAATATGATTGTTGGAGGATGAATCTGAAAAGCTTAGTGAAGAAAATTTATAAACTTGGTGTATGCATTCAATGCGGAACATTCAACTCCCTTCTTATTCACCATAAGGGTATGTTTGAATGCCAGAATATGATAGGGAAAGGGAAAAATAGTAATGAAGGTTACTTTTTAATGATGGTTTTAGAAATTGCAACGAGGCGGGTTTGGGGCGGGGGTTCGCTCCCCCGTCTCATGCCCCATGTCTAAAAAGTTTGCCCCATCCTCGCCCCATGTCTAAAAAGCCCCCCCATCCCCGTTACTCCTTGCTCCACCCCATTGTCCCCAGCACGTGCCCCACCGCACATGCATAGATTTTATATATCTTATTTGGATATTTTTCGTTCCACTATATTATGTTTATATGTTTATATATATATATATATATATATATATATATATATATATATATATATATATATATATATATATATACTCCCTCTGTATTTTAAAGTTTGCTACACTTTCCCTTTTTGACAAGTTTTTCCTTTAAAAATACTCAATTACCCTTACCTTTTCTACTTTTTATCTTCTCTTTCATACTTTTCCATCGCTCCTACTTTTTACGCACTATTCATTACCCCTACTATTTTATCCTTAAATCTTGTGCCCAAACCTATTGTAGAGAACATTGAAATACGGAGGGAGTATATCATTAGCGCTAAAAGAGTTAAAATAGATAATATTGTGCATGATAAAACCTATTACCACCAATTTCATTAATTCTTTAATTTGAATAAGCTTTGTGAAGATAATAAAACTAAAAACACAAGTAAACATAGTATCATCATATATATTATTTCAATTTTATCATCATATATAATATAATTAATAATTAATTATTTATTTGTGTGTTGCCTTACACTCACTGTCTCAAATTTAAATGCTATCTAACAGTTATGGTAAACATGATTAGTTATTAGTTATTAGTTATTAGTTATTACTATTACACATATTAATTCATTAACTATGTAGACTAATACACACATCATTATGCATATGTATATCTATGTTTGTATGTGTTTGCTAGATATAATACAACTATATATGTTTATATGTTATTTATGTATGAATTATATATATATATATGTATAAATGTATAGTATATAAATATATAAATATGTTTGTGTGTAGATATATTATATATAGAAGATGTGGTGGAAATGTGAGATTATTTTTAGATTACGATTAGGTGGAACTATTCTAAGAAAACCGATGAAAGGTAGGGTTATTAGTTTTCATTTTCCCTATAAAAAATGAGTGAACAAATACTTTGGGTCATCCTCCCTATCTTTTCCAATTATTTTTCCGGTGCCAAGTGGACCCCAAAAGTAGAGTTGTGACAATCCCTCTCTGTTTTTTCTTGAAACCAAGCAGTGTATGATCTCACAATTGGGTACAAGAATAACTGCCCATCCTTCATGGACAATGCCTATGGTGTGGACCCAGCCGAAGTTCACATCCACATACGAAGGGTTGATCTCACTACCATCCCAAATTCTGAAAACGAGGCCGTTTCATGGTTAATGGACACATTCTGCCACAAGGATAAGTTGCTTTCTGATTTCTATTCAAAAGGCCATTTCCCACGAGAAGGGATAGAAGGTGAACTGCCTACTTGGAAGTGTCTTAGCAACTTGGCCCTGGTTATGTTGTTCACCAGTGTGTGTACATTTCTTACCTATGTATCTGCTTGGTTCAAAATATATGTTACCACTGTCTGTGTCTTTCTAACAACAGCAACATATTTCAACATTCGTCCATCGCCAATTGTATGTTTATGATGAAAGCTTTAATGTTCGTACATTCATAAGGAGAAACACTGACTATCGCTACTACCTCCACGGCTCCACTTTATGGCAACTTCTTATGTAAAGAATGCATCTCTAGTTGGAATCCTTTCATTGTACATATGTAGAGAAGCACAAGCGTTGAAAATTGAAATTATGACCATGTTGGATGAGGGTAAAACATGTTCGAAGAAATTTGAGTTTGATGAGATGGCATGTGCTGTTTATACAGAGTAGTAATGGATACACCTGTCTTACACACTAGTGCTATTGTTACATTTTCATAAGTGAAAGTAATATACATCTTTATAAATAAAAAACACCTTTTATCAGGAAAAGACAGCTTAAATTGGTTGTACAGACGTACAGTGGTACATTATGAAAAAATGTAATGTTTCACAGATTGAGGCTTAGATTGGCATTAATTGGTTGTAACTATGTAAGTGGCAGGCTGGCAGCCAATTGAACATTTTCTTTCGTGCTAAGGCTCTTACGAAAAATACTTCCTAAATCAATAAATTTTAGAAATAATTACATAAATATGACCAAAATAAAGATGATTTACAAAAGTATGATTATTGATTAGAGTAGTAATGAAATCATAGTAATTCATGTTCAAATTTTGATCTTAAGTTACCACAACACCACATTATAGTAATGAATAGTCATATTTATGTAAATATGTTTTATTTTAGTAATATTCTTGTACAAAACCCCGGGCCGGTTCGGGTCCGGTTCGGGCCTGGGCCCGGCCGGTTCACGGTTCAATATATGGGAGACCCGGAACCGGCCCGGGTAACCCCGGGTCCAGTTCGGGCCGGGCCTCGGTCCAATCTATTGTTTTTTTTGGCTTCTCCTAATTAACTCCCAACCTCCCCCCTCACCCCCAAACCACCTCAAATGGCCCAAAATACCCAGCCCAACCCAAAAAATAAAAAAAAAATTAAAAAAAAAAATTAAATTTGGCCCGAACCGGGCCCGAACCGGCCGAGCCGGTTCACCATTCCTAGGGCCCGAGCCCGAACCGTATGACTAGCGGGCCGGGTCGACCTGAGCCGCCCTATGACCCGGTTCCCAGGCCGGGCCGATTCAAACAGTGACCGGTCCGGGCCGGTTCTGGGGCAGGCTGCCCGGCCCGAGTCCATCCCTGAAATCATATTATTAGTTTACAATATCAAAATAATTTTGAATGATATATTTTAATATATATAACAAGATTAAAATGTTAATTTATTATAGATTCTTGTAAGTAGATATTCTTAGGGTGTGTTTGTTAGTTTGCATATTAAAACTTTATACACAAAATGTCTTCACACAAAGTTTAGGAAAATATTACATATATTTAAATTACTTGCAAAATAATTTGTAAAATAAAAATATGTTGTGAAGTTGTTTGCGTGATTTATATTTAAATTACATGCAAAATCATTGCATTGTTTTATTAGGAAAAAATAACATGTGAATTATTTTACCACCACTTACTTATAACTCTACATGATACAATATGAAATGCTTGAAAAAAAATGTCGTATGTTTTACATTAAATATTCAAAAGAAACTATGTAAACATTTTATACTCCTACATTTTGTATGCAAATTAATTGTTGTTTTACATGCTATCAAAACAGCCCATTAACTATTAATGATTAAACGTCAAATTCAATGACTGAAATAAAACATGAACTTTGTGGAACAGATGTAATATCAAATTAAGAGTTGAGTAATATTTTATAATCTTTCATATAAAACCAACATTGAATTTGTAAAAAATGGTTTAATAAATTTAAAAACTATACAATGCAAATATCTCCTTTCTAAGCATGATATATTTTGCCCTTAATTCAATAAATAATTTTATTTATTGATAAGTGGACAAACTCCCACATTTGAGATCCTCTCTAGGAAGTTTTGAGTTTGAGTTACCTCTAATTGAATTTTAGAAGATTTTCTAATAATTTAGTCCCGATGCTAATACAAAAGAAATAATTTAGGGCCTGTTTACTAATAGAAATATTTTCCTGTTTTCTACTTCTGTTTTTCGTTCTCCAATTTTCTGTTTTTATTTTTCAGTTTTTCTATCTCCAATTTTCTGTTTCTATTTTTAAGTTTTCCATTTTCAAATTTGAAAACATGTTCATCAAGTTTTTCACACAGTTCTCCAATTCCACACGGCCACACCCTTGACCCCTACCTCTACCCTTACCACGATCTTACACTCTACCCATACTCCACCACAACCCTTCATACCCACCCATACCTACTCGTAGGGGTCGGGGTAGGGAAGTTATGGGTGGGGGTGGGGTAAGGGGTATGGTCGGGGTGGGGTGGTAAGGTCTAGGGGTTGGGTGGGGGTAGGTTAGGGTCGTGGTTAGGGTTAAGGGTGGGGTAGTGGGTAGGGTTGGGGTAAGGTGGGGGTAGGGTAGGGAGTTGGGATAGGATGGCGGGTAGGGTGGGGCCGGGGTAGGGAAGGGGTAGGGTGGGGGTAGGATGGTGGTAAGGGTGGGGGTAGTGGGTAGGGTTTGGGGTTGGGGTAGGGAGTTGGGATAGGATGGTGGTAGGGTGGGGCCGGGGTAGGGAAGGGGTAGGGTGGGGGGGTAGGATGGCGGTGGGGGTAGGATGGCGGTAAGGGTAGGGTTTGGTGGGGTAGGATGGTGGTAAAGGTGGGGGTAGTGGGTAGGGTTTGGGGTTGGGGTAAGGTAGGGGTAGGGTAAGGAGTTGGGATAGGATGGCGGTAGGGTGGGCCCGGGATCCGGGTGGGGCCGAGGTAAGGTAGGGTGGGGGTAGGATGGCGGTGGGGTAGGGCCGAGGTAGGAGGCATGTGGTAAGGGGTAAGGTAGGGGTAAGTGGTAATATATGAGGGGTGGGGGTAGGGTAGGGTGGGTCGGGGTGGGATCGAGGTGGTAGGGGGGTGGCGGGTAGGGTAGTGTGGATCGAGGTGGGGTCGAGGTGGTAGGGGGGTGGCGGTAGGGTAGGGTGGATCGGGGTGGGGCCGAGGTCGGGGCATGTGGTGGGGGGGTGGGGTAAGGTCATTATAGGGAAAAATGGGTACGCAGGGTGGGGGTTGGGTGGGCAGGGTAGGGTAGGGTAGGGGTAAGGGGTAAGGTACGAGGATGGAGGTACCGGAATGGAATCGACATCGGAGCGGGACCGGACCCACCACTAGGTGTAAGTATGCAAATTCATTGCAAAGGCACTGTAGCATCTGCGCTTTCCAAATTTGGAAAACTAGTAAAAGTCACTTCTCCAAATCATTAAGGAAAAGAGAGACATGTTTCATTTTTTCCGTTTTGGAAAATGATTTAGTAAACGCGTTTTTCTTTTTTCCTTTCTGTAGTTTTCTAGGAATTTCTTGGGTAAACACGTTTCCTGTTTTTTGTTTTCCAGTTTTCCAGTTTTCTGGAAAACTGGAAAATATTTCTGTTAGTAAACAGACCCTTATATTTTCATTCTCAATGATGGGAGAGTGGGAGACTGGCTGACTGGGAGTCCGTAAGTTCGGAGAACCTTTCCAAATGTCATATTCTATGCCTATTACATAAAATTCAAACCAAAGAGTAGCCCTGCCCTATTCTATGCTTCTATTGGTGTAATAGGATTGGAATGTTCGAGCAATCCAAATTCAAAAATTATTCATGTAGACTAGATACCATCTTACACATGTAGTAGTTATTTTCTGTGTTTCTGAACATCTCGTTTACAGACAAACATGGGTTGTCACATACAAAAAATAGTTGATCATAAACGTGTGTGGAAGAATAGTTTTTTCCTCCAAAGTAGATTGGTGATCTCACACTCTCACGTCTCCCCTTATTATCCACTTTTTGTGATTTTGCCCGTTGCTTAAATATCCCCTTAAGATTATCTCATATTAAATTTGGTAAGATTAGTGTGATTCTAAATTATACTTGCTTTATCAATTCAATATCAACCACATAAATCAATTTTTCTTAATAACTGGACCAATTGATAAAGCGTTATAAAATATGGAATACAATCCAATATTATATAACATTCCAAATATACATTTGCTCTCTAAATGGAATGATTATATTATTTGTAGTTTATTTGGAAATCGATGCTCCATAATAGATTATTATTCCAGTCAGAACATCTTGATCGGAACTGCCGTCCGAGCGCTACGATTTGAGACAGTTCCGAGTGATTTTTTCTTCATGAAATTAGTAAGCATATTTTATATGAAGTTTAGATTATATCCACAAACTTTCAACTTAAAATTCGATCAGGAAGTCAAATAAAAATATTATTGAAAAACACTACACCAAAATATTTACATACACAATGCATTATTTTCAATAATTTGTTTATCTAACTTCCTAATTGATTTTGAGGTCAAATTTTGTGAACATAATTTAAACCTTACGAAGAACATGATCAAAAAAATAATCAAAAAAATCACCGAGAACAACCTCAAATCGCGGAAGTAGTAGGCGGTTCTCCTCCATAATTCTGATGGTGAACTTTTCCACTTCGTAATTTATATAAATACCATGACTTTAGAACTTAATTTCAGTTAATTTAATGAATATACACTATTTTGGATTCAATAGTAATCAATTGAGTAAATACTATGAATTTAGGACTTAATTGCAATAATTAAAAACTATTTACTAATTGGACTCAATAGCAGAATTCAATTTCAATTAGAAGGTTGTACTTTATTATTAAGTAAGTAGAAGTAAGTAGATTAAATTGGTCAGTCTAGTGCCAATAAGGATATTCTTACTTGGACTGTAATCTGTCCCATATCAGACCAGACCAGATTTGGATAGTTATAGAAATACAAAGATATCAGACTATACCAAGTCAGACCAGACCAGACCAGACCAGTAAATTACAGTCAAGTAAAAACATCCTAATACAACATTTGCGTTGTGCGGCTCACTCCATTAATTGACAATCACATCTAAGCAGGGGCGGAGGTACGTAGTCATGGTAGGGGCCATGGCCCCTCCCAAGTTTTATTTTTTTTGTTATTAGTATTAGTATTTTTCTTTGGCCCCCTCTACCTACCAAACCTTTTGAGTACTACGTAAGTACGTATTTGTTAGGAAGATTAGTCAAATGAAATACGGAGTACTAAACGATAGAGCAACCCCATACCATACGTATCTAGTAATTTACCATATGTACTAAAGGTTAAAGCTCCTAAGAAAAGTACTAATTATTTAACATTATTATAATTTATTATCAAGAGTTTAGAAATTATAATAATGTGAACTTATAATAACGTACTGTT